ATGTATTACATTTTGTTTGGTGTAACAATTGTTGTCCAAGTTGTAAAGACAAGAATTGGAACATGACTTGGTTTTGAAATGTGTTCGAATAGTGCTGAAGAAGATGCTGCCTTTCCCAATACAAATTTTTGACAATTTGAAAATCTCTTCTTATTTTTTCTTCCCCCCTCAAAGCTATTGAGATACACATTGGATAAGCATGGTCTACAGCAGGTGAGGATCATAGCCAGCGATAGACTGTGGGAGCCCATTTCCTTTGTCTTGCTGCTTGACTCTGAGCTTCGTGGAGTGGTCGATGTGATTGGGTAGGGGGTTCTCTCTTTTTTTTCTTCTTTCTGGGTGGTTTGTTCATAGTTTGTCTTCACCTTGCTTATTTGTAACTAGCACAGCCAAAGCTTTCCCTCTCTATACTCTTACCTGCAATTAAAGGGTTGATATTCTGATCTTCCTTGCTAATTCACATCAAATCACATGGGCCATTGCCCTGGTGACATCCTCAACACTTTAATTGAATTGTGAGTCTCCTGTCATGTGGAAGATTCCTATTGGCTGTGGTTGCACTTTTGATGAATTGAAAGTTTTTTGGACAACCCTGTTTATTCTGAGAGTTGTTTTGGTTCCTGTATTTGGTACACAAGAAGCGCTTTAGCTTTACAGCTTTGTATACAGCCTTGTATTACTGACTTCCACTGGTCTGTTACAGAAATGAGTGTGATCCAGAAATGAACTGGGGCCATGATTCTTTTTTAGTTACAATAATGTCTTGCTTCTTAGTTCCCATTTTGTTCTGATGGGAAGGTTGTATTTGGAAAGCCTGCAACCAGCTCACTTGTTTTTCTAGTGCTGGGTTTCACCAGATGATGCTAATATTTTTGCAAAAGCAGTAGACTAAATTTGAGATTGATTACCGACTTGTCTGCTGAATGGAAATGTGTGTAAGACTTGCTCATTAACTTTTCTTTTTATAGTAGCTCTAAATTTTAATTATTTGGTTTCATAAACTTGCCTGATGCAATCGCGTGCTTCAAATGTGGCTGTTCCTTGCTTCAACTTGAGTCTTTTTCATTCATCCTTATATATCTGACCCATGGGAGGTGTAGAAATGGCAGCTTTCCCTCCAAATACAGGTAGGCAGTCAGTGCCCCTCCCAAATCAATCCCTCCCCCCATTCTGAACAACAAAAAGTATCCTGACAGATTTTTGCAAGTGGATCTTCAATCATGTGTGGATCAACAAGTGAAAGCAATTCTGAACTCACTCTGAGCAGATGCAAATCCACTGTAATTACCATGATCCCAACATAGTGGGCATGCTTCCTTTCTGGTTTTTGGCAGCTACAAGTATGCACCCTGAGTCAATTCCTGGAGCTCAACTGTTTTTACACTATCTCAGTAAGGAGTAGTTGCTTAACTCTTTGCAAGTGTAAGTTTTTTACATCCCTGCTCTGATTCAGTCTTAACAGGGAGAGGAAATACTCTCTTGTGTAATGGATAATCAGTTGGCTACTGGACATTTAGTGGTGCACCTCTCCTCATGGTATCTTTTTAAAGAAAATTGTTGGCTTTTTTATTTGAAACTATAAAAAGTATTTCAGACAGCCAGGATTTTACATGAATGTACGTAAAATCAATTTTGGACTTGGTAACGCAATTTGTGATCTGTGAGGGCTCTTATCAGACAAGCTAGATGGGAGATTAAAGTTGCTGCTGTTGTTTTATTTTGCACTGTTTGCATGCAGGCTTCATCTACAAGATACTGTAATGGCTAAAAATTAGAGGGAACCCTGAAGATGCACTGTAAAACTATTAATAGATGTTCACCCACATAGGGATGACCCAGGTCACCAAAGCTCTTTATAATGTGGTATTTCCAAAGAGATTTTCAGAGCTATTACAGTTGTATCAATTTTACCAGTGAAATGAAATATAATGAATTATAAACAAGTATTACTCCTACTTTGAACACATTTAAATTACATTGTAGCTCTTGAAAACAATGTTTTTCAAGGATGGGCTTGCAAATTCCACTGCTACTTTAGGTGTGGTACTTGTTTGTAACACAGTTAAACCAGTTAAGATTTTTGCATGCTCTACATTTAGAGACCAAGCTGTTCTGACTCTACGTGCTGAAAGTCATCCCCCATCCCGTCCCGCACCCTTCCTGCTGTTAACTGAAAAGAAATAGGAAGTGTTTAGACAGTGTCAGTGAGTTTAGGATTAACACCTTTCATTTTCATCTAATATAAATTTAGTATGTCATCAGGTGACAACTCAGTCTTTTTGATTGGAAGCATCAGTATTCTTAACCAGATCTGTTCTAAACACAGATTTGGTTGAATGTGTTGCAGAAAACCAAGCCTTTTAAAGTAATTTGTTAGACCTAATTATGGCCAAGTTAATAACCTAAGAAAAACATGACAATGTTGTGACATTACTGCATGATGGAATCATGACGTAGTGCCTGTAATAGTGGGAATTCAAGCTGTCCCAAATCCCTCCTAGGCCTGTGTGCTGATACAGAATGAGAAGTAGGAAGGATAGTGGTGTTAGCTGATGATTTCTGTTTCCTAGAGATGTTTTTGAGAACTAGATTTTGAGGTTTTCATAGGTAGCACTTTTCTGCAAAGTTTCATTGTAGTGATGGTATTATATAGGCTGATCTTTTTTAAGATTTATTGAATTTCTACAGCCTTTTACTGATGCATGAGAGAAGAATGGTTGAAAACCCTGCTATTTCTAGCCTGATTTTCCCCTTTGGGCCACTGCTATATGCAAAACAAAAAATAACACAAAGTTTTTTTTTTTTTGTTTGGTTGCTTTTTAACTAAGTTATCCAAATGAAGTCACTGTGGGCAATTATGCGAAGCAGCATTTGCAATCCAGAAGTAGAAGAACTTTCCTTAATTAATGTTACTTTGTTAATATATCTGATTTAGCTTAGCTGCCCGACACAGGCAACTGGGGATTTTTTCCCATTGGGGTTATATTGCTTCATTATCTGCTGTATAAAACACACTTAATCTCATAATAGTTAATATTTAAAAAATACTTTGTTACCACTCTAACAGCTAGAGGCCCTGATGATGAACCAACCATCTGCTGGTTCCAGAGAGACTGAAAGAAGGAGGGAACAATGAAAATACTTTTTTAGTAAGTGATAGTGGTTTGAAGAATGCAAACACAGAAGTAATAGCTGTTGGTAAATTTTTCTCTTGCAGTGATAACAGGTTTAAACTTATGTGTTGATTTTGTTGTAATTCTGTTGCTACTATTCCTGTCATTACCTTTTCTCCACCAAGATCCATTCTTTTTCCCTCTTTCATGATATAGATCACTTTTCCTCTCTCTTTGCAATGATCTTCTGTTATAGTGTGTCTGACTGTTATTTTGAGCAGAGAATCCAAAATCCCACTGCTTCTGCTGAAGCATCACATCTATAAGAATGATGCATAAACTCTACTCCAGTTCATCTTTTCAGGCAGCAAGAAGGCTAGGTGTTTAGGAGTCTGTGGTTTTTCCCGAAACATTAATCAGGATACTCGAGTCTCTCTAAATAGTAGTGGTCCTTGATTGGACCAACCATTTCCTGAGAGTAATTGGAGTATAGTCACTCCTTTGTAGGAGTTTTAATTTCCACTGCAGCAAAAATATTGGTTTTACTACTGAAGGAGCAGAGTATGCTGTTCTGGACACAGCTAATCTCCTGTCCTTTGCTGCACACCTTGTATTAGTTGTTGAGGCTGTGGAGTAGCACAGGATGTCTTGTATTTGGCAGAGATTTAAGAAACAGCTCTTCAGGATATGGAGTGTAGAAAGACAAATTATTCCTTCGTTGCCTTGCCTTTGCAAGCTACACACTTTCTGCCACTAAAAAAACCTTTGCTCGCTAGTCAGGTAATACTTGTATTTCGAAGCCAAAGGGGAACTATACAGTAATGTGTACAGCAGAGAAGGATGTAGCTAAAATCTCTACTATCTGTTATATTATCATTAGTGAAGCTATGTGTGAAAGACTACAACACTGTGAAATGGCCCATTGTCCAGCAGGGGGAAAATAATGAAAAAAAAAAAAAAAACAAAACCAAAACCAAACCAAAACCCAACAGTCAGCCTAGCAAAAATGGTATTTCCTGTCACAAGTGTATCAATTTGTCAAGTTTCAGCCTAATAGTAAAGGAAATATTTATGCCTTCCTTCCCAGTGCTCATAATTTCATTTTAGTGTATATATTTAGTGTGTTCAATGAGTGTATACTAAGTGAGGAGAAAATCATGACCCTGTTTTCTGCAAGTGATTTGAAAGGTTTTATTTCAGACTAATTTAGCACACTGAATCCATGTTGTGATTGAGTATAATCAGTAGTCTTCATTTGGGAGAAGGCGTCTCTCCGTATATTAAGGAAGATCTTGGAAAGAAAAATAGCTTTCATTATATGTTTCAGTTATTTTCAGTTTACACCTTTAACTTTTATAATCCAACTAGCATGCCTTTTTGAAACCTGAGTTTATTTAAAAGGTATGCAAAATTGGCCAAGTTCTTGTTTAGGTCCTAAGATGCTCATGCAATTAAGTTCTTAGAATAATGCCTAGTACTGTATCTTACTGTTGATTTTATAATTATTTATAGTTTTGTTTAAGATAGTACAAGGTAGCATGTATTTTCTCTATTTAGCACATTACAGTTATGAAAATCTTCAAGGTCAATTTCAGGATGAAGTTTTGCTTTAGCAAGCTGCAGAAATTACACTGTGTATTTAAAAGTAGGTTTACTTACATGCTGGCATGTATCAGAAGAAATCTTCTACTGATGCAAATACAATAATCTACGGAATATTATAGTGTGCTCTTGTTCCTTTTTCTTCTATCCTGTTAATATTACTCCAAAGAAAGCTTGTTTTTAGGTTTCAACTTGGAGGAGGTGAATCATTGCTACTGTATGTACTTCCAGGCTTTGATTTTTCTTTTTGTGCTAAGTGCTCATTCTTTTTGAAATACTGTGTAGGGCTCACTATCCTGGAACAAAAACAGTGCCAAATGCCTTATTAACTAAGAAGAAACTGTGGTCTTCAGAAGATTACAGTACTTTCAATGATGAAGTAGGTGCAGGCTGCTGGGCTCGGATCCTGAACCAAAACTACGTGAATGGAAACATGACCTCGTAAGTGTTGTGCACGGTTGCTTGCTTGCACAGCTTCATATGTAAGAATTGTTTAAAGTACTATATAACACATCTATCTGCTATGGTAAGATAGTAGGTAAACTGAAACTCTCTCCACTGTCCGTTTGAATTAAAATATAGTAAGGTATGAAGTCCACTGTCCTTACCTCTTTCTGGGGTAGAAGTCCCACAAGTTTTAATGCATTTTTGAGTTACTGTTCCACAGTATCTAATGGCTTAGGTGCCTTTGAGACTTTGATGATATTTGTTAAAAAGAGAATGTTCTTAAGAAGAACTAACAACATGAAAAACATTGGAGGAATATAACAATAAACTATGTATTGTATTTAGAAGTTATTGTAGAATAGTTCCAAGTCCGTATATCCAATATTGAGTTATCTAGACTTTTATATTGAAAACAGAGT